ATCTCCATAGACACTTAACCAGACTAGACGATGTCATCTTCCGCTTTAAATTTAGACACCCCAACCTTTCTCTGACTTGACGTCTTTGAATGGAACTGAGATATAGATACAAATTATTAACCCCTACGCTCCTTTTCTTTAAACAATTGCTCTAGCCGTTACCATAGTAATTTTAATTTCAATAATGAATATGCTTATAAAACGCATAAATTTCAGGAATTAGTTATTCAAAAAAAAAAAAAAAAATTTCGCTTGAAGATGGAACAGAACTTGGTCCTTTAATTCAATTTAATTCAAATAATTATAATGAAGTTTTCGGCTCTTGTTTTGAAACATGAGAACTCTTATGTAGCGTTGGAATCATATTTTTTAAATAAATAATTATATTTATGCTCTACTTTTGTATCGAGTACTATTTTTTAAAAATAATAGCAAAAATACTAAGAACTTTGGATTATTTACCTAACAAGTTCTTTCCCTTTTTCTATATATTTTACACACACACACACACACACACACATATATATATATATATATATATATATATATATATATATATATATATATGTATGTATATATATATATATATATATATATATATATATATATATATATATATATATATATATATATATATATATATATATATATATATATATATATATATATATATATATATATATATATATATATATATATTTATATATATATGTGTGTATATATATAGAGATAGATAGATAGATAGATAGATATGAACAGACTTACATAGATTGATATGAACAGATTGTTACGAACAGATGGATATATAGACATTAATAGATAAGTCGATATTAGCAAATAGATATTATAAGATAAATACATAGATTGATAGGAACAGATATATAGATTACATCGATATATATATATATATATATATATATATATATATATATATATAATATATAAGTTTCACTCTATTTTTAACTTTTTCTCTTATTTTTCCATTTGAACAAAAAAATTTTTTTGAGAGAAAAACTTGTTGAAATCGCAATAGTTTCACATGTCCTTTTCTTTTAAAAAATCATAATTAAATTATTCAATTAATTTGCATGTTTTTATTTTTACTTTCATTTTCTCTTTTTAAATATGCATTGTCACTGCCAGTGTTGATATTCATGTAAAAGGAAATGCGACGTCATTCACTACACAAAGCAGAAAGTATCGAAAACCTCACGCTGTCTGTCGCAGCTGACTCTATTAAGTCGATGAGACAAAAACTCTTTTCTTTCGTGGCGTCAGAATCGCATCTTAATTCCACCCACAGAAGAAAAAGACCCACACGAAATTTCAAAAGCGGCAAAACAGTTTCAAATGCGCAAAAATAAACTCCTTAGTTTCGTAATCCTCAAGAATGATGCAAGTAAAACAAAATCTGTTTAGGACATAGTTTAGACGAAACTCCTAGAGAGTTTGAAAGAAGATTTCTGTTGTAACCTATGGAAGGTTACTGAATAGAATAATCACCCGAAGGTTGGTAATGAACGATAATACTTAGGACAAGAACAACACATATAAGATTCGCCAGCGGCGCGTAGAAGTAGTAGTCAATTGATACAAGTGACTTATGTGAATTCCACAAAGAATTTCCAACTGAAAATATGGAACAGGCCGAATTTAATGTAGGGTATCCGCGCGCGTAGGTTTGGCCAAAAATTCCCCGTAGACCCCCGTATAAAACGGGGTCGCGTAGCTGTTTCCCAAGATGAGACACTACCCCTCGACATAGCCTCGTCTGGAGATCCCCTCTGCCTGGTGGCAAACATTTTGACTAGCACAGCTGGAGGCGAACCTCCAACTGCAGGATATCTACTACCCACACACAAGGTCAAATATGGAACAAGACCGAATTTAATGTAGGGTACCGGAGCCCGTAGGCCAAATTTCCCCGTAGAAGCCGTATAAAACGGGGTCGGATGGCTGTTTCCCGAGACGTGACTCTGCGCTTCGACATAGCCTCGTCAGGAGATCCTCACTGCCCGGAGGCCTAGAATTTGACTAGTACAGCTGGAGACGAATCTCCAACTGCAGACCAACATACAGCATTTACTACTGTATTTATGTGAATGTGGACATAACCCATTATCGTCCGTAAGTATACTACAACACTTTCCAATCATTGCTAAAAGATCTAACTAATTATCTATGCCTCCATTTTTATATCTATCCACCCAAGATGCCAAAATTCCCTTGTTTGTATCCAGGAGCGCGGTATGTCTACTGGAAGTTCATTCATTAGCCTTTCTTTAAGTTATCCAACGAGGGGAAATAATACTTTGAATAACACCTGTGTATTAATAACATACAATGATGCTGAACGTTTTTTTCTTTCTTTCGCCACTCAAAAGATAAATGCACAGCCATTTCTTGATACCCTAAGTCACACGTAAGTTTTGAAATGTTATCTGGCAATGGTCTTATTCGATAACGAGATCGCAATCATTATCTTTCTATATATTCACATTTCTCGATCAGATATCTTCGCCAAATCTTAGCTATCTCCCGATTTCAGTTTAGTCATATTTTTTAAAAATGTTTCACCTCCAAGAAAGGTAATAAAGTCATTGGTGGTAAGGTCTCATCATTTTACGGTTGAAATGCCTAGATTTAACCGTAAGTTCTATGCTAACAGTTTCTTCTCTCGCACTTCTTGCTTGTGAAAGTCTTTTCCGGTTTCTTGCTTTCCGGTAAAGTTTGATCTTCAATAATTTACATGCAATGTCAAACGTTATCTTCCGTCTCCTTAATTCCTGTTCTTTTATTGTTTTCGCTCCCTAATAATGCTTTCCTCATATCCTCTCACGCTCAATAACTGCTTAGTCTTAGTGGCTTTATTGCCTTTAACCATTATAATCCCACTCAGCAATATACCTACTTCCATCCTACAAAGCTCTCAACAGATGAAGAAGTAGACATGGGAAAAAATTGTGATGACATCACCGAGTGGGATGGAAGATCATTCACAGAGACTGGAATATTTGGCATGCAATTGAGATATATGAGGGGGGTGTCGGTGATGAGATCAAATGCGCAGCGACACTTCGATAACTCCCTGTACTGATTGGAATGTTGATCTGAATCTTTATTTCGCTCACTGTGTCCTCAAGAACACATGGCACAGTGGATAAATGCGTTTGTTAGATCCAGTGACAGGACCCAAAGAGTGTTAGTTCAATACTTGGTTAAGGCGGTGGGGAACTTTGAGAGGAGAATTAACAGGAGATAACTGATAACTGACATCTATTAGACATGGCACGTGGAACTAGAACAGTCTACCCCAGTGAGCGAAATAAAGGGTTCGACTTTCCAACCACCTGAAGAAACGTGATAAATATGCGACAAAGATGAGGACAACTTTCCGAATAATGTAAATAATATATATATATATTGTATGTATTTAGGCAGCATCTTTTCATTCATACAAGTTTCATTAAATAATATAGACAAGTGTTGTCTATTTATTTTATGTAAATTCTTTTCGTAACGTCTGATAAGTTTAATAACATTATCGTTGAACGAAGAAAGAAATTCACAATATTCATCCATATTTTTTTTATTTAATACAATCTAAGCTTTCGGCTTACATAAGCGATTATCAAAGATGTCAATTACAACATAATATACGGACAAGACAGTGATGATAGTCTGTCATTGTTTACATAGATGATTTCTAAGCAACAATAAACACGTGCATATAAGACGCTAGAAGCGAAAATCGCACCGCATCTCATGACATCACACATGAATACACGAAAATGAATTGGAGAAGTATAATGTATGAAGTATGGAAGCCGTTGGTATAAACCAATGGCTTATGTTACCAATTATAGACATTAATTATATATATATATATATATATATATATATATATATATATATATATATATATAGCTGGCAACTTGTATTCGAGGATATCTGTCTACTAGAGCGGCTAGCCAATCCCTATTGCAGACGCTTTCTCAGGCACATTTGTGCTTGTTCAATGCCTACTGAGCTCACCTGTGGTTTATACCGCAACTATGCTGAGTAGACCTTTATCTAGTGTGATCAACAGTTTGAGCAAGGCCAGCACACGCAAGCACTCGATCACGATGACTTATGGTTTCGCGCCAGCACAGCTGTCGACGGTCCCGAATGGTAGCGTTTACCTAATTTCACTCACGAGGCTTGCGTCAACCTGTGATATGGTTTTCAGGCACTTTCAACGGCCGAAACATTGTGATAAATATGGAGACAAAGATGTGGACAACAGTCCGAATAATGTAAATAGTACACACACACACACACACACACACACACACACACATATATATATATATATATTTATATAAAACATTAGGCAGCATATAATTTATATACAAAGAAACAATCACACATAGAATCAATCAGCAATATTAATGCTATTATCGGCGACATCCATCGCTAGTAGTGTATAATGTATGCATTAAAATACTGTTAATCCATAGAATGATGTGATCCTCATTTATAAAACTGTTGTCTGTTGTTTCCAGTTTATATTTTTTTTAAATGCAAGTCCATTCGAATAATCCTTTATTCATCGTCAGGCATATGTTTTCCTTATAAAATCAAAAACTTGGAGACGAAATAATTGTTTGTCGACCGAAAGATGATTTTTTTTGAATATCTGCTATTATTGACGGTTGTGTACAATATCGGAACGTGCAAAGACGCAACGCTAAGTTTTTCAAAATTTTAAGTGAGAATTTTATTTGAACTTTTCTTGTGATGTAGTGAATCCACGTATTCTATTTTTACAAGTGTTTTCAGTTAATATATCATGAACTAAGTATATAGTTCAATTAATATAGTGTAATGTCTTAGTAGTAGTTTTTGAGATCAACGCTTTTTTCAAATCTTCCACTGGCCATTTATGAAATTTTGTCCGCTGGAGTCGTTTATCCTTCATTCTTTACGTCAAAAGCAGTTTTTATATGACTCTCTAGCTCGTCGCACCATTTCATCTCTTGACAGTTGAGCCAGATATGGCCACACCGGATTTCATTAAAACTGCTACCACGTCCGTACTACTCTTCCTCGTGTTTTTAATGCTGTCCCTGAGCAGCATCACTTCGTCTCTTTATGTCGTTTTCCTTTTCATTCTACAACTTCTCTTTCACAAAACCTTATTGTGACCCAATAAAGCCTGCCTTTTCAGAATGCTTTCAACACTGAAACTTTCGGCTATTTGTCACACAGATTTGTTTGAATGTTCATGGAGTGCAATAAACTGTACACACTTTCTAGGAGTTATAAAATCGATATAACTCCTAGAAAGTGAGTTATATCCATTTTATTTTACCTGTTTTATTTTACCTGCTAAATGAAAATAATCAGGTTAGTTTTGTAATCAGAAGCAGTAAAACAAAAGACAAAAAATCTAACTTACACGCAAAACAATATAATTCACGCATTATTTAACCAAATACAAAGTTTAGTCACAAATAAATTGCAAAATATTCAAAATTCTTTCAAACTCCTTCTATTATAACAGGTGCGTGCACTGTAAAGGCATCATCGTATTTAGGAATCATTAAACTATTGTTAAATAATTAAACTCTTGTTAATTAATTCACACATATCATATATATATATATATATATATATATATATATAAAAATGTATATAAATATACACACACACATATATATATATATATATATATATATATATATATATATATATTTATATATTATATGCGCGGTACTTATTAGAAAGTGCTCGACATCAGAGATAGAGCTAACATATTTGGTTTGATTGATATGAGTTTGTGACCCCGGGTTTGGGTTAGCACGATGACATCACGACGACGTTTCCCTCCCCACTCCCTTAATAACACCAATACACGCAATCTACATAAACCCAAATTTTTTAAAAAAATAATCAGTTTGTCTGACGATCGCAAAGGCGTGAAACCCAGGGTCACAAACTCACATCAATCCAACCAAATATATATATATATATATATATATATATACATTTTGCAAGCTTAATAGGCATTCATTGTCTGTTATATTTAATAATAATAATAATAATAATAATATATATATATATATATATATATATATATTATTAAATATATATTATGTCTATTATGCTTGATCATGAGCCGTTCTAATGTTCGAATTTCTGGTGAAAATAAAGAAAAAAATTGTCCAACATTTGGATATTTTTTTTAAGTTGGTCCTAGGTTTTCGATAGATCTTGGACTGTTTATATGGGTATGTTTGTGTGGACTTAAACGAGTACACCTGTATGTATGTATGTATGTCTTTGTATATGAGAGTGTCATCCCAAACGGAGACAGAGGAGAATTCCCCCACCCACCACCAAACATAATCAAACACAGACACGCATAAATAGATTCAATTTTAAAAAAGTAAACCAGTTTGTTTGATGATCGCAAAAGCGTGAAACTCAGGGTCAAAATCTCATATCCATACAACTGAATATAAATACACTTAAAATTCATCTTCATCCCTGCCGCTGTTTAGTGGTAGAATCCCCGACTGACGTTAATTCAGTCGGGTTTCGATCCTAGCTAGAGGCAACCGGATGTCTAGCCACACTGATGAGCTGTGATACAGCAAAACTGTCTGTGGATGACAATATATATGCTCCTGAAAAATGTATTTCGGTTGAGCTCTCTGGGGAGGAAGTGTGGGTTTGTAAACAGTGACTATTACGGCTAATAATGCAAGACTCTTCGGTAAATCGAATTGAGTTCTCTCAGTCACTGTGTGTTTATCTAAAAATAAATACACTTGAATTCACCTTCATCCCTGCCGTGCGCGAACGGCTTAGTGGTAGAATCCCCGACTGACACCGATTCAATCAGGTTTCGGTCCTAGCTAGAGGCAACCGGATGTCTAGTCACACTGATCACCTGTGATACAGTCTGTCTGTGGTTGCCAATATATATATATATATATATATATGTGTGTGTGTGTGTGTGTTCAAGCATATTTCATTGGATAATATAGAAATATTACGTCTATTTATTTAGCTAATAATTCTTTCTTGTTCTCTAATTAGCTTCTTGATATAAAGTTGAAATTCAACAAAGAAAGTCTAGTAGTTTTTGTTAACCCAAGTACTTTCGATCTCCTCCACGATCATCTTCAATAGTGAATTTCGAAGACAAACTTAATGTTACTGTGATCTTTGTGATGTTTATAAACAAGCTTGAACACGCTCTGTTATTATTTAAAAATTTATCCGTTGTGCTGTGGTGTTTTTGCAAACAAGCGTCTCCAATGTAAGGGAGCTAAACAGAGTTGATAAAAAATACAAAATTATGTTAAGTACATTTGAAGATAAAATCTATTAGCAGCTAATATGAATTTTGAATCTATTGATCAGCTTCGAGTTGACATGTTATTCGCTTTCATATTTGTAAAAATTTGCAATTTCACAAATTATATAAACTTTTCTTAGCTTTAAATTTGTTTTTGTTTTTATAAATTTACAATCACAGATATACCAGATTTTATCTGAACATTTTTTGAATAAAGACAAAACAAATAATTTTGTTCATTAAAAAAAATAACAATTCTAAATTCTGAAATAATTTTGGTGTTTCAATTTTTTTTATAATAAATTATTTAAATTAGAATTTAAAAACTGTTACGTTCTTCATTTTCTTATCGAGTCCTCGCTCTTCTTTCTGTCATTTATCGGATAAATAAAAACTAAAACAAAGCAAAATGGTTTAATTTGGAAAATCGAATAAAAACTTCAATAAAAAAAAATGAATTTGCAAGTTTCAAAAATTGAAATATTCAAAAATCGATTTTATTTTATTTTCAATATGGTCTTTAAACCAACTTTTGATTAATCTGGAAGATTACTGCATTCTTTGTATTATAAGAATTACGTACGGTCATGTGCTTGTAATTCACACAAATATTATGACTAAAACCAGAGGATCCTTGTATTTAGTTCAGAGTCATCAAACTTCTTCACTTATTATGACTTGCTACTTGCTAAATATTAGGCAAAAATATTTTATGAGGTTTTAAAAAGCAACACGGTGTTAATGGTTGCAGGTAGATCTTTTTCAACAGGTTTAAATATGATGGTAATTGTTTATTTAATATACAGAATGTTCATGTATGTAAATTGTTGTCGTAAGAGCCAGTTACCCTCCTTACTGTCATGAATGGATCAGTCCATTCATGATAAGCAGTCTTGGGAAATTGTCTAGAAAGAGACGATAATACTATTGTTATTGGTTTTTGAAGTCTCGTATTGGACGTGATTTTGACCAGTTTTGTTTATTTTTCAGAAAACCGAGATAAAATTTTCAGCCGAAATATTCTTTTTTGAAGCCCATTAAGAATTTTTGAAACCGAAATCCTTCAGTTGATTTTGCTATGATTTTTCTTTATTCTTCTTTGTTGAATTGATTTTTGTTATAAAGAATAATAAAGTGACACTGACGCCACTTGAGTTTTTAACATAGATCGGCAGTGAGCAAACACAGGTGATTCCATTAATTGAATTAAGTAAACCACGTGACTATAAATGAAACGCATAAGTAGGTAGAAAGCTTGGCGTCTAATTGATCGCTATTTCTACTCTATTCACTATACGGATCACCATTTCTAGTCTATACTATTTTTCTATACTATTCACTTTACTATCTTTCTATCCAGATCAATATTCGGTGGTTACGTGCCAAGGGAGTATTATCGAGCCAATACTATTAGTGTAAGTAATATTCGAAGGCGACTGACACCAGTATTGTTCAACGGCGTTACTATAGTTGTATCTGCGATTACAAAGTCTCTACTACAACGAGCATTACGAAAGTAACAACGCGTATTCGTTGACATCACAAAATGGTGGTCGTTGGCATCACAAAATGGTGGTCGTTGACATAACAAAAATGGTCTTTTGATTTATTTTTCTTTCTTTGTCGGTTTATATTTCTTTCCGTTTTATTTTTTTTTCTCTGTCGACTTTAAGCCGCTATTTTTAAGTTTATATTTCCTGGTGTGTAACAAAGCTTCACCGGTTCTCTATTTATTGTTTTATTTTATTCTTAGTTAATTTTATTTTATTTTTGTTTTGTTCTAGAAACTAAAAAGCCCTTATTTAGACTAAAATCCATTTTTATTTTGACTTTCTCATTTTCCCTGTCAGCTGTCTTATTCGTCTCCTCCCCACTTAGGCTTTTTCTTTTTTTTTTTCTCTAGGCTACTGTTTTTGTTTCTGATATGTCCCGGAAAGGGATATATTTGTTCGAAGTAGCAAAGTGGTTGTTGACTACTGTCACCGGGTAGCACAATCCAGCAGGAAACCGTAATGGACTGGTCCTCGTCGTAGTGGTAGGCAATAGGCGTAGGCAATAGACGTCGTCCTGTATATCCACATCAGTCTGTATTTATGACTGACACCAGCTAATCATATTACTGTGAGGGGGATCCCAGGTGTATGCAGATTCATTACATCAGTTTCATTCCGTTACTTTTTTTTAAAACTTTTATTCATTTTCCGTCTTTGGGCAAATTTTATTTTATTTAAACCATTCGGAGTATTAATTAGTACTTTTCGCCTAACTTTATTTTATTTTACAAACTTTTATTTTTAATTTAGGTCCATTTTCCTGCTTTTTCTGGTCAAACCAGTTTCTTTTTAGAGTTTGTATTTTTGTATTATTTCTTTAATAATTATTAGACTTTTGGGCTTCATTCCTCGTAGTTTTCACTAAATTTAATCTCAACTTTCATTCCCTGGTCGAGACGGATTCTTGATTGTATTTTATTGTTCGGATTTTTTATTGTTTTGTATTATTACTTTATTACTTTTTACCTTCGCGGTAAATTCCTTTCTTACCAAGATTGTGTGAAAGCTACTAGTGAAAGCTGATCACGAAAGATCTAATCTTGCGGACAGAGTACGAAAACATGCGTAGGACCCTCAGCAATATTCGAGGTCCCTCCAAGGGTTTTCGGGGTGCATCTTGCTGCATTTCTTTCACAGTATGGCGAGATAGTGGGTGCCTCCTGCGATAGCCTGACCTGGTGGGAGGGTAAAGTTTTTGAAATCACGCTAGGCCGAAAAGCCTTCATTTCCATCCCCTACTGTTTGGAAGTAGGGGGCATGAAGTTGCCGGATATTCTGACCAAGC